AACTCAGTGACGCTTAGAAATTTCCGCTCCGTATTTCCTCAGTTTACCTCTTCTCTTCTTCACATGCTCACTTCTATGTTAATGTTCAAGCCGTCTGCTGAGCTTTGTTGGTACTGCTGCAGTGGCAGCGACTCTGATCTTGTGGGCTTGTATGTTACTGATGCAAATCCTATAGGTGGATTCTTTTTTGCTGGGGCGTCGAATGTGTTAGATACTGAGGGGAGAAGGTTTCACTTGCAGGAAAACACAGTCCATTCTCTTTCAACGAGAAAAATATTCAAATCTAATCCAAAATCTTCGCCAGATTTTATCGTACGTAGACAAATTTCTAAAGATACTAACTGTACTTATCCTGCACTCTGTGAAACAGAAACCTGGCTATACAAGAAGGGTAGTCTCGAAAATTACATCGCCCTACGTCACTAACCTTTTTGGGTAGTTCATTAATTCCACTCTTTTCCTTTGTTTTTGAACAAATTATCCATATATTTTACGTGCGTAAGATTTAAGGGATTCTCACTTTCTTTAATGATATTGTTTCTTGGGAAATTGGGTCTTATAACCATGCAAAAATTTCTAATTTACTATCAACCCAATTGTCCTAACGGATTTATACACGTTAATTTTCCATATTAATAATGTTTTGCCCCTTATTTCAACTGGTGAACTTGCAGCATAAAATATAATTTTAATGTTAAATATTAGACGTAAAAGTGTAAATCGTGGCTTACCTTCCTCCACATTTTCCTTTTTACTTATCTTGCTAAATTCGTCAAAGTTGAAAGGTCTCCAGCACCGAATGGAGTGACCCCATCACCTCCGCCGGCTTCTCTTCGATTTTTGAGATCCCCTTCTTTGTCGCCTCTACTCCTCTTCTGAAATCGGCTCCCAATAGATGGCATTAAGTCCGCAGCGGCGCCTCCCAACAACCCGTGTCTATTCCACTTCACACCCTCAATTCTTCTTATCTCTTCACCCACTATAATTTCTCGGGTTTTAACATTCACTTTTCTTCATCTGATGTTATTTTATTTTCTATTGCGGATATACTCAGAAATAGGATACAATAATTTTAAATTTACAGCCTTCTCGACTTTGAATGTTGGATTTGTTAGATAAATTGATCTTTACAATTTATAGTCGGTTGGGGGTTCCTCCGTATGTTCTTATTCTTTCTTAAGTTTGAATTGTGGTTTTTTTTATCATAGATACGTAATACATAGTCTAGTCAGATTGATTGTTGTGTGGAATGGCGTTTGCATTACATATTTGTTTCGTCTTTTGTATATAGTATGGTCTTTTGTAGATCTATTCCATGTAAAGTGGAATATAATTAAATATAAGTGCACAATATTTTCTGAATTATATATATAACAATGCAAGTAGGAAAATAACATAGCCTTTATATAATCTTTGTGTGTGAGTTGCATCATTTTCTTATGTCTTCTAATATAGTGTACTACCTTACAAGATAAACTAGTATAGACAATTTATTTTGTAAATATAATGCATTTCATTGGGGTTTAATTGGTTTTTCTTATACTATTTTCTATTATATGTTATATATGTTTCCTATATACATTGTTATATAGATTCTAACACCTTTAATTTTTTTCTTATGCTTCTCGGATTTGTAATGAAAAATTTAGGGATACCAAGAAACATGTATGAAACTGGCTTTGACAAGCTCTCCCCCCCCCCCATATCCTAAGCTTACCACCCAAATTCCATCACCTCTTGCAATGTACTATTTGTCTTGTTTCTATTATATTTGACAAACATAGAATAGTAATGTTATATTACAGTAAAATAAGCATGAGTTATATGCTGTTGCTTTATCATTAATAGGAAGCTTGGTTTATGTAAAATTCAGACAAAATTATGTTATTCTATTTATAATGATTATATTTTACATTTATAAGTAAATTATTACAATGAAATATCTATATTATATAGTTTAATATTACATAATATTATATAGTATTTTCAGATTTTGATATGTGGGTTTACGGTTTAGTGATTAGTGTTTAGAATTTAGTATTTGGAAGGTAGGAATTGAGGTTGGGACAACATTAACTTCTTCCATGCAATCATATACATTTCATATTTTCTCTGCTATGTTGTATGATATTAGTTGTGTTTCATTCTATTTTAGGATTTATATTAGATTTCTGATTTCGTTATTCTAGTTTAAGGTGTAGTATTTGTTCCATTCTATTTGAGTTTAGGTTTTATATTTGGATTTAGAGTTATATTTGTGTTTGGGTTTAGGTTTAGGGTTTGATAATTATGGTTTAAGGTTTAGTATTTAAGAGTTGAGTAATATCTAGTACTTAAAAGTTGTGGGTCTGTTTATAATCCTATACTATTTTAATGATGTGGAATAGAACATTCAGTATATATATGTGATCAGTTCAAACATGTAACGTGGATGATCCAATGCTTCTTTCTTCTTGTGAAATAGTTGTCACCTGCTTGTGACCATATCATAATGACCACGTTATTCCCTTCTATGTCATCTCATTTTCCAAGTCTTGACAGTCGGCTCTTATTACACATTTTTACCGGGAAATTGTTAAGAAAAGATGTAAAACTGAATGCAATTGGGCATAAATACATAATCTATACTATTAAAGCAGAATTCCTTTTGGGGTTCTGCCTCTGATTTTTAAAAAAAATTACAAAATATCTCACTTCCTTTTATTTTTAATGAAATCACCGATTAAAAACTCAACTGAAAATCGTCAATTAAAAACCCAATAATTTTAACATTTATCTACAACGAAACGGGCTTCAAATCTATTAAAAATTTATATATTTGTAAGTTTAAAAATTCGTCAACAGAATTAGGCCTGAACATTTTATCCAGACCCGAACAAGAACCGGCCTGAAAATACAGGTCTAAGTCCGGGTTCGGGTCCATGGTAAAGTATTTGTTGGGTGTTTTTTGTTTGGATCCACATGTCTCGGTTCGGGTCCGGATCCTACTCGAAACCCGATCAGGTACCCGAAGTACCCACAAATTATTGTATATATTAGGTATATTTAGGTGATTGGGTATATTTTGATAATTCGGGTATTTTTTAAAGTTTCAGATTTGGATTTTCTGGTATAATATTAGGTTTTAGGTAAAATTTTAGATTTTCAAAAAAAATATAATTCGGGTATCGAGGTAAAATTTCGGGTTTATTTTGAATTTTTGGGCCTGATTTTAGATAAACTATCGGATATTTTGCGGTTCTTCGTGCGTTTTTAGAGTTTTCGGGTATTTTTGGGTTTTTGGATCCAGTTTGGGTTCTTCGGACCTTTTTCGGGTCCTAAATGCCCAAACCGACCCGATAATATACCGAACCAATGGACCCGACAAGATCCGACCCGAAACAGACCTGAAAAATTATAGGTACCTATATGGGTCCAAATTTCTAGGACCCGACAAGACCCGATCCAAATCCAACTTGAGGATCTGGATACTCAGGATTAAACAATATACTACCCGCGTTTTGAAAGCGCAGGTCAAAATCTAGTTTATATTATTAAAGCAGAATCCCTTTTGGGGTTCTGTCTATGATTTTGTAAGAAAATTACAAAACATTTTATTTCCTTTTATTTTTAATGAAAATTGATCATTACAAGCCCAACTGAAAATTACCCATTAGAAACCCAATAATTTTAATATTTATTTACAATAAAATGGGCATAAAATCTATACAAATATATATATATATATATATATATATATATATATATATAAATATATTTGTAAGTTTACAAATTCGTCAGCAGAATTAGGATTGAGCATTTTACCCAGACACGAACAAGTACCGACCCGAAAATACATGTTCATGTCCGGGTTAGGGTCCATGCTAAAGTATCTGTTGGGTATTTTTTGTTTGGACCCGTGGGTCTCGGTTTGGGTCTAGGTCCTACTCGAAACTCGAACGGATACCCGAAGTACCCACAAATTATTGTATATATTAGTTATATTTAGGTGATTGGGTATATTTTTGATAATTCGGGTATTTTTTAAAGTTTCAGATTTAGATTTTTGGGTATAATATTAAGTTTTAGGTAAAATTGTAGATTTTTTAAAATAATATAATTCGGGTATCAGAGTAAAATTCTGGGTGTTTTTGAATTTTGGGCCCGATTTTAGATAAACTTTCAGATATTTTGCGGTTCTTCAGGCATTTTTAGAGTTTTCAGGTATTTTTCGGGTTTTTATTCATCCAGTTTGGGTTCTTTGGATCCTTTTCGGTTCCTAAATACCCAAACCAACCCGACAATATATCCAAACCAACGGATCCGACAAGATCTGATCCAAAACCGACTCGAAAAATTATAGGTATCTATATGGGTCCAAATTTCTAGGACCCGAAAGATCTGGACCCAACAAAAACCGATCCAAATCCGACTCGAATATCCGAATACTCATGATTAAACAGTATATTACCTGCACTTTAAAAACGTGGATCAAAATCTAGTACACAAATAAGCGTGGATCAAAATCAATGTTGCTGACTTAATTAACATTCCATATATGGCTACTACACAAATAAGTCTTTGTTTCTTTAAGGCTTTGACTGGTGACCACCAAAGGAATAATAGGAACAACGAGGAAAGGAATGAAGAGGAACAAAATAATAGGAACACTTATTCCATATTGTTCCTCCCCGGATTTGATAAGGAATGGTTTTGTTCTTTAATTCCTTAAATTAAAAGGAATGAGAAGGAATATTAAAGAAAAATTATTCCTTGTAAATGGTGTCAAATTTAAGGAATGGAGAGGAATTAACTATTATGATTCCTTATAAATGGTGTCAAATTTAAGGAATAAAGAGGAATTAACTATTCCCACACATTCCTTTGGTCACCAGTTAATTAAACTTTTTTCAATCGGGACTCTCGAAGTTGTTTTCAGAATGACATATATAAATGGAAAATAATTTTGTATCAATTTTTCTTTTTAATTTTGTTTCCATTTTTGGAAGGGTTTATAAAAGGGCTGCATAACCCTAAATTTTCTGAATTATTTTTCTCTCTCTCTCTCTCTCCTCATGATGAAACCCTTTACTTCCCACCACATGCCTCTAGCTATTAGGGTCGGGTCTACCCCGGCTAATAGGAGTTTACTCCTCCTCAAGGCATGGAGTCAGCAAACCCTATGGAACCGGAGTTCCCATGAATTGGCTCCTCGAGCTTTCTTCTCGACACTAACAAATTCGAAGCGTACCGTGTCGTGTTCAGCGACTGGTTCTGCTGAAAATGTCAAAAAAAAACGACTTTCTGGTTAGTCCACTACTATAGAAGTATTTTCTATAGTTTGAGTTCCGAGAGTTGTGCATCGATGAGTGTAAAGTGATTGAAGCTTATAATTTCTGTTCTTTTTCTGCAGATACCTTTAGGAAAAGGATTGAACCTATTAAAGAAAAAATTCCGAAACATGTCCTAGAAGTCATAGAAGAAGAGCTTGCGAATCTTGATAAGAACGAAAACGATCATGATATCTATAGCTACCTTGATTGGTTGACTGCGTTGCCTTGGGGAAAATGCAGGTTTGCTATTTTTATAATAAGTGTTAAGTTGCTCAAAAAAAAAAACAAATTTGTCAATGGTTATTATTATTTAAATATTAAAAATTCGTGTGAGAAACTCAAACTCAATCAGATGCTCTTATATAAAAACATTCTCCCTTTGCAGTGATGAGAACTTTGATGTCATACGGGCAGAAAAGATTCTTGACGAGGATCACTACGGATTACGTGATGTAAAAGAAAGAATACTAGAGTTTATTGCTGTGGGAACACTTACGGGCAATTCAGAAGGTCGTCTCTTTGCCCTTCTGGTTCATTCTCTCTTTATAAAAATTTTGAAACTGAACTGTCTTATTTTTTTAGTGTCAAACAGGGAAGATCATTTGTCTTTCTGGGCCTCCTGGGGTAGGAAAAACTAGTATTGCTCGTTCTGTTGCACGTGCTCTTGGCCGCAAGTTCTTTCGGCTAGCTCTTGGAGGACTATCTGACAGTTCCGAGATCAAGGTATACATACTACTGCATGAGAAAAACAGTTGGAGAAAAATATCTCACATAGCAAACTTGTCTTTTCTCCAACAACAAAAAAAAAGAACCCTAGAGAACTGACATATTTTATAACATAAGTAATCATCTAAAATGAGTTCACTTATAGGGA